TTCTAACAAATCAATTCTTTTTTTAATTTTAATAAAAATTTAATCATGAAAATATTCCATATGAAAAATTCTTACTAATTTTTAAGCAAAAAAGTTTTTAAAGATTAAACATGTGCGTTTGTATAGGTGAGACCAATTAGTTGAGATTCTTCTAGTCATGTTAGTATGTTTATTTTTGGTCCAATGTTTTGTAGGAGTCTTCTAGTCTTGTCTGAGATTTCTGTGCCAGTAGAAATGTAGAAAACTTCTAGTGTTCTTTTTTCTGGTTTCATAGAGCTTAAATGGAACAACATGAACGTTAGGATATCCGAACTTTCTGGGGATTGACGCATAGTAGTAGAAGCAGTTTGGCTGCATCGTGTCTTGTTTATGAATTTTGTGCAAGTTGCTTGCTCTGAACTCATGGAACTAAAGATGCCTTTAAGAATTCTTGAGGACAATATGCTAATTGTTCCTGATTTCTTCTTCTCTCTCTTTCTGTTGATACTTTGTGCTTATGGTTCTTGTCCTTTGCAGGCAGCTCAGTTCAAGAGTAATATTTTACGTTTTTCTGGCTTTGTCTGGCATGAAAATGAGGTAATGAATGACTCTCCTGTTATAGAAAGTTCGTAAGAGAGATATCTATCCTTTTCTTCTTTTTTTCCCCCTTCCTTTTTTCTTATTTGGTACCAGGGGTGTGGTAGGCTGGGATAGGGCATGTATAAATGTAAAGTTTCTCATTGCTTGCTCATACGGGGCTGCTAATATATCTTGTTCATTATTTCGTTCTTGGGATCTTAATTTGATTTGTGTAATCTTCGTTCTAATGATTCGGAAAAAATGCTTGAGCTCAGTGTCTTATACTACTCCATTATTGCAGGAAAAACAAAAGATGAAAGTAAAAGAAAAGCTTGAGAAATGTATGAAAGAAAAGCTATTGGAATTGTGTGATATACTTGATATACCAGTTGCTAAGGCTACATCAAAAAAGGTTTGTTCATGTATTACCACTGCATGTTAGGCTTTCTATGTCGTTAGTTATTTCTTCTTACTGTTGTGTCGTTGTATCTTATGAGGGTATACCAATGGAAGGGGTAGATATCTTCCAAAAAATTTGACTTGGAAAATTATTTAGTCAGTATTTTTTCTTTTAGTGACATGTTGGTTCTAAACTTGTCACCTCACACCATATTAAGCAGCTCTTAACAGACAGTACAGCTAAGTATTTGTCTGCTATCTTCCTTCAAAGGTTCTTAGCTAATTCTGTGTTTTATGTGTCAGGAAGATGTAGTATCACAGTTGATGGATTTTCTGGAAGCTCCTCATTCTATGACTTCTGAGTCGCTTGCTGAAAAGGACCAGGTTGGTTGCAAAACCATTTTGATTGCTATGGAGTAATTCTTCCAGTTGTTGCATAGTATGCTTATTCATCTGGTGCACTTAGCAGTCAAGTAAAGGAAAGAAGCGTGAACGAGTGAGGAAAGAAAGTCCTTCGTCAGCAACTGGTAGTTCCAAAGGTTCAAGTAAGGTATCACTCTTACATTTGAGCATGATTTAATTGCAAGCCATCACCTAGTGGATGAGTTTTAGCTAAATGGCTGTAACCTGTTTGGCCTTACTACATCTGTAACACCATCTGCTTGTAGTCTTAACTTTGCCTTCCATTTACTGCATTTAAGTTTCTACATCAATGCCCTTGAGATTTGAGACGGTAAATCACATCATCTGGCTTTTAAAATTGTGAATTGTTTCTGTCTTCTTGAAAGTAATTTTGCTGATTGAAGTGGCTTTCCCTCTGAAGCTACTGAGTTCTGGTCTTGGGATGAGCGAGTGTAGAATCATTTTAGCCTCCTGAAAAGAAGACAAAAAGTTATCAAACAAAATGCTAAAGTTGTTCCTGCCAGGATACATGCTATACGTGTCTGACTTTATTCTCTTTGGGGTCGTTTGGTTCAATTGTGGGATAGTCAAGGATATTCCATGGGCTGGGATATCCCATCGGGATTAGCTATCCCACCTTCTATATGGATAGCTAATACCATCATTTTGGCATAAATTTTTCACCGGTATTAGGTAATACCCATAACCAAACATGGGATAAATACAATCCCAAATTCTATCCCGGGGTTTGTATACTTATCCCGATAACCAAACGATCCCTTTGTTTATTATGGTAAGTGTTTTTTGTATCGTGGTTTTGTGAACCCTTAAATAATGCATTTTAATTTTTGCATCTGAGATTGATTCATCATTTCAAATTTCAAAAAGAAACTAGAGAAAATCTAGAAGAAAAGGGAGATTCGTGAAACCATATGTTTGTGCTTGTGGGGACTTCTCCTATTATGATCTCTCTGTCTGGTATATTCTGCAGAGTCGCAAGACTGAGAGTGTATCTAAAAAGTCTGAGAAGAAGAAGAAGGTGCACGAATCAAAAGGTGAATCAGAGGAAGAAGATGACCAAGAGGAGGGAAAGATAAAAACTAATGGTGTTCATGAGAGATCAGATGATGAGACGTCAAATCAAGCTGAAAGTGAGGAGAAAGACGGTGAATCTAAAGATGAGTCTGAGAAGGACAAGAAGAAGAATAAGCAAAGTTTAAATAAATCATTGTCAAATAAGGAACCTGGTGGAAAAGTTAAAACCAAGAGAACACCAGTCTCTACACGACCTAGTCCTTCACCCGAAAAAACACCTTCAAAATCATCAAAAAGCTCTAAGCACAATGATAGCAATGATGCAAATCCCAAAGTGTATTCAAAGAAGAAAGTAACTGAAGTGGTTAAGGGAAAGTCATCTACACCAAAGAAGCCTACTTCAAAAAACAATACTGGTGAGAACCATTGTTTTCTTCCATTTGTGTGTAGAAAATTCTTGTCAAGATCATCAAAGATCTATATATGAGTATTTTCATAAATTTCTCCTTTATGTATTTATTTAAGTTAAATCCTTTCTTTATTAGCTTTTCTGAATGTGTAGGGAAAAAGGTTCTGAAGGGAAAGGATCGTAACAAAGTAGATAAGTTGAGGCCAAGTGATGATGAACTCAGAACTGCAATTTGTGAAATTCTAAAAGAAGTTGACTTTAACACGGTGAGGAATAAACTTTTATTATGTTCTGGTGTTCATAGTTCTGCAATTTTATGATCTTTGTTTCTTTCCTTGTTAGCAAATCTCAATTGTTAATTTCCGTGTTTAGATTGCTTTTCCATATGCCTAAGCTTTGGTGGGTAGAGTTACTCGGTACCCGTGGTGGGAGGTAGTAGGTACCTGGTCGAATAGTGTAGGTGTGCGCAAGCTGGCCTAGACACCGCCATTATAAAGAAGCAAAAGGGGAATTATTTTCTGTTTAGACCTTTTCAGATGGTGCTTTGAGCAATCACATTTTGATCATCACAGTTCTAGGATGGGATTTACTTTCCCATATGGCTGACATCGTTTCTTTTTTATGCTGCAGGCTACCTTTACTGACATTCTGAATATACTCGGTAAGTGTCCTGTTAAGATAGTTTTGCTCTTCTTTAGTTATACAACTTTTTGTAGTCTGATAAAAATATGGAGATCGTGTTGATTATTGAAAGATAAGTTTTAGTTGACTAAGTTAAAACTTTGAGAAACTTGATATCACATCTGCTAAGAGATCATAATTTCAGAATTCAACTCACGAATTTTTTCCATTTCAGCCAAGCGGTATGATACGGATCTTACACCCAGAAAGTCATCTGTAAAGGATATGATCCAGGATGAACTCACTAGGTTAGCTGATGAGGCTGATGACGAGGAAGAGGAAGAGGAAGGAGAAGGAGATGCTGAAGAGGGCGAAAAACAGCCTTCTGGCCAAGGTGTAGAGGCCTGAAAATATAGAACATTGCAAGGAAAGGTAGCCTATATTGTCTTATCTCGAGATCCGACCCTTTCTTCCTCTGATGTCTGAATTGTGTTCCATAATAGAGTTCGACCAGCTGTAATTTATTGTTAATGTTCCACTTTGTGGTTAAACACACTCGCTAAGAAGTCACTGCAGCGTATTGTGTAAACAGACATTTGTAGGAAGCACTGATCTTTTCATGTGCTATAGTTGCTAGTGTTATGATTAACACCCGTAGACGGACTTTCGAGCTGTTGGCTGGCATAATCATGGTTTTCGTGTTAGATCTCACTGCCCGAGAACAAATTGCTAAAATGCCATTCATGCTATGCTAATGTTGTAAGTTCTAATTCCACTTGATGTCTGTGAAATCTATTCTAAGATTTCTTAACGGTTGCCCTTACTAGGTGGTGAATATGTTATTGCAGTTAAATATATATCTTAATGCAGTTAAATATCTAGGTTGTATTATTTCTAATGTAATGGCTAGAATGGCGACTGGCGAGGAGGAGACAGCAGATTCGTTCTCTTAGTCTTGGCACATTTGAACGGCCAATAATAAAACCATTACTCTTCCTTTATGTTTGTTTCTATTTTGTCTCACTGGAGAAGAGGAAATAGAAAGGCATTAGATGAAATAAACCATGTGTGAAACTGGAAATACAAGTTTAGGGGCACTTTTGGTTATTGCAGATTTGCAGTATCATGTAAGTTTATTAAGTTGTACTTATTGAAACTTGAAACTATGTCAACTCTAAAAAGAATTAAATTAAAAGGTTCTACACAAATGCGAAGAAGTAATATTGTAACAAAGACATTATGATTTTTTTAAACAAGACAAAAACCAGAGATATTTAAAAGCGAAATTTAACTTTATTTTATAATTGTAGCTTACAAGCAAATCGTGTTCTTTTGATTATTTCACGGAATGCCTACGACCTCCCACCATCACATGTGCAAAGTAAATTTGCCCATCAAGGCATGGACAACACTTAAATTTGACGTAGAAATGTATTGCGCCCCTCTACCATTGACCATATGCACTAACATGTTTACATAATTATTTTTCGTCAACTGAAAGAGCAGAAAAACATAGAAGTAAGCTTAATTGGTAAGGACAAAGTATATGCCTCTTAAAGAATGGAAGTGAAATTACAGTTCACTTAACATGACAGCATTTTGATTTCATAATTAGAATTCTTTATACACTTTACAAGAACACTGACTGAGTGCTGAACATTGTGTGCCCAACAAAACCTGGGTCTAAAGAACATAAAAGGATAATACAGACGATTAAAAGAGATCAGCAAAAACCTGAGTATTAAATCCTAAAACATTACATCAAAATAGCAAGTTTCAACAACAATCTATCACACAGTTCAGTATGTTCAAGTCATACTCATCGGACGTGGGTACTATAACATCTAATATTTTAACTAAAAGTATAAGATAAAAGAGGTTAAAAGCTAAGATAAAAGTTACACAAGAAGATCAATCTTTCCGCAAAATGCTCTCTCAGGCAAAAGATTCAAGGTTGGTTCGTCATGAAGAGACACACCATATTTCTTTCAGAAGTATCCAAACTCATATCTCCTCTGCCATCATCACAAGAAACTGAAAGATAAGATTTGCAGTTAGTACCCAAATTTATAACCATACAACTTAACGGAATGAAAGACAACATCCATGCTTATGTGAAACAATTTAAATTGATGCGTAAATTTAGCACGCAAACTGTACGGAAAACCCAAATATAACAACAGCAATAAAAGGAATTGCTACAAATTATTTTATCTATCAATTAATACACATCCAATTCCCTCCACACAAGGGAGTGGCTAATGGTCTAAACCTTCAATAGATCAACTATGCCTCAGTTCCAAACAAGTCGAGGTCAGCTATATGAATCCCACTGGCCATGTTTCTCCATTTGGACTCCTCTCAACCCAGTAACTTACATAGGGAAACTTTGTTCAATAGGAAGAAGTTCAAAATATCCAGATATTTTGAACTTCTTCCTATTGAACAAAGTTGCCCTATGTAAGTTACCATGGGCTGGGGCAAAGAAGAAGGATAAGCTCTAGGCGTTGTGGATCCACAACTTCTACATAAAGGGGAAAATTTGGATACTATGCGTATACCTAAACAGGCAAGCAGGATGGTAAAGAAAGTTCTGGATGCCAGAAGTTGGCTAAGCTCTGGGAATTCAGTATTGAACACATTGAATACATTTACAGCTATCTCTGTTCACATTGAATGCATTTACAGCTAACTCTGTTTCCAGAGTTAAAAGCCTATGGATTTTTCCTTCCATTATATCAGAAAGTGCCTTGGAAGAGTCTCACAATGGTTAAAGGATGCATCAGTGTATCCGTTGGCTGACTCTTCAAGGAAGGCTTTCTAATGTGGATAGATTGGGTGGATGGGGCGTCCATGTGGCTAAGAATGTGTGTTGTGTGCTTATGATGCTGAGGAATCACATACTCATCTATTCTTCAATTGTTCTTACTCGAGGAGTATCTGGCAGACTCTTTTAAATTGGCTGGGCATGAGTAGGCAATTGGGATGCTGAAAAATAGGAAGATAAAACTAAATGGCTCATGTAAGTAGTTAACAACAGTAGGTCTAAGGGAGTTCTGTTGAGGTTTCTCTTTGTTGCTAGTCCTAAGTTGCTCGGACACGGATGCGGGTGTCCGATATGAGTGCGGATCTAGAGGTCAAATCCCTCATGATCTAAAAATAATTCAAATATCTAACACATAGTGTTACAAAAATATGTCTAAGTTCTAAGACATCATGTGGAAAACTTACAAGGTATTCCGGGAAGTTCAAAATATTGATCAAGAGGAGAATCCTAAAAGGAGATAAAAAGAAAAAAAACTGACATAGAAATTTTCATATATAAGGTATGCCATTTTTTTCAATTTTACCCTACTTATTTGTTTCAATTTCAGAAATCATTGTATCTGACCCGAACTTCTCCATTGATTTGAGTCAAAGTACCCAAAATACGGATCGCACACCCACACTTACACTCACGTCGTGTCGACACGGGTGAGGCACCGAAAGTGAAGAGTCCGAGCAACTTAGGCTGTTAGTATATACAACACCTGCACTGAGAGGAACAACCGCAGATTCCAACAGAAGAGTAGAGAGAGTTCTGAGAAGATCAAAAACATAGTTTACAGTTATATATTGTAGGGCAAAGGCACTATAAACATTAGATAGGTTGAATAGTTTTCCTTGTTAGCTAACTGTCTTGCTGCTGGATGTGGAGACTTCAATTGTACCCTTTCTAGAAAGTGCTAAGTGTAAATCCCTGATAGCACTGCTAGCTGTCATTTTGGTTATTTTTGTATGGTCTAGCTCTAGAGTCAAATAAGCTAGCTTGTATATACTGCTATTTAGTTGAATAATTTTTATTATTTTGACCCAAAAAAATTAAAAATAAAAAGCACTAGGAATTCTCTATATTTTATTTTTTTGAGACTGGTACCAATATATTAAGAAAAAAGGCACTAAGGCAGTGCAAAACCATATGTACCGGGGGGAAGATCAAAACTGATCCACCAGACTTACAAAAAACCTAACATGTCAACCAGGGATCTGTATTCTCTACATGCCTTTCTTTACACCAAAAATAAAACAAAAGAATACAATTCATCATAACATTCTGAAGAGTATTGTATCCGTCTTCAAAAACTCTCAGAGTTCCTCTCTGTCCACACTGTCCACCATACACAAGCAGGTATCACTCTCCACCATGTCTTCTGACTGACTACACCTCCAATGTTATTCCAGGACTAGCTCCAGAGTAGTTGCAGGCATTGTCCATCTGAGGCCCACAATGTTAAGGAACAATTGCCACAATTGACTAGTGATAGGACAATGCAGGAACAGATGACTGTTGGTCTCTAGATCTGTGCCACATAACAAACATCTGGAGCATAACAGAAATCCCCTTCTTTGTAGGTTTTCTTGGGATAGAGAAAAAAAGGAATTCTCTATATTTTCTACCGACATATCTCTTTGACAAGGCAAAACGGCTCCTAAAAAGCATAGTACTTAAGGTAAACGTAGTATAGTAACATGACTAAAGCATATTCCCAACTACGCGGTCTCAACTATATAAATTCTTTTCTTTCATTGTGTCATATTTTCGCTAAATCAACATGAACTCAAAGAGATTGTACGTCTTTCGACAACTTTCTTTCACGTGATTTTAGGTCTCGCTAATCCCTTTTTAACACCTTCCCTCACCATAGCTTCACACCTACAATCAGGTGCATTTAGAGGTCAATGCAAGACATTACCAAACCATCTCAATAGATCTTCTCTCATTTTATCCTCAATGTATGTTAACTTGCACCTTCTAGTGAATGTGGTAATTTCTAATCTTGAGTTCAATATAAAAAAAATCCAGTAAAGGGTCTTTTGTTCTACTATTGAACCGTAAAACATGATTCTTATTGGAGCTAGAAATTGTCTATTTTGAACAGGAAAAAGATATTTTTTTTATTGGTTGACAAATAGATAATTTTAACACTTCAAAATTTCGATGGATGCTTGTCAAAAGGCCACATAATACTCATAATTCAAAAATGCTGTTATAATGATTAACTACACATATAAATAAGCTCCACTAATATCAATAGCAACTGAATTGTGCAAAGAAAAGAGAGCTGCTGGTTTTTGGAAATGATAACCTGCCGCCTTGTTTTCAGAATGAAAATAACATAAATTTCCTATGAAAGTAGAGTATATTCAATATTATGCAATATAATCCTTATCGACAGGTTTCTGTTTCATATGCATTAATTTATTAGGTAAGTTTTAAGAATAAGGCTGCCTATTAATGATCAGTATGAATGGGCGAAAGGCTTGACTACCATGGGCAACTTTTGAACTAAATGAGATAACTGTATTCTGTAACTATCCACTACAAGCACACATACGGGAACAGCCTTATACTTTTTAGTGAACGACATCATTTTGGTAGAACAAATTAAAGCTCACAGATATGGCATCTAATTAGCAGTAGCAGACACCTAATACTATTCAGAAAAGAGAACAAGATGGTTATGGTTCTAAGACGGATTTTCTACACTGAATATCTTCCTTCAAAGGGGAAGAGATAGTAAACACATATAGAACCAACAACCAAAGGCGGAAAGGAAGGGTGAAATCTTGAACTTACGCCATCTTAATGCTTAGTGACGATGCTCCTTGCAAAAGGAATACTGAAAGAAAACAGCCAAAGTTATCCTAGAAAAAGCAGTATGTCAACAGATCAATCAGAAGTCAGACGACGCCTCTTTTCATAATCTATATCCCTTGACCTTGACCGTGAATCATCTTCGTGCGATAATCGTGATTTGGTGTGTGTCCTTGATGATCTTCCCCTGTCCCATTCATCATCATATTCTTGNGGTGTGTCTCCTTGATGATCTTCCCCTGTCCCATTCATCATCATATTCTTGCTCACGGTCCTTGTACCTATGATGATCACCATATCTATCTCTATCATCCCTATGACGGTCACGCTCCCGTCCACTACCTCGATCCTTCTCAAGGTCACGGTCACGATCTCTAGAGCGTGTGCGACTGTGGTCACGATCCCTCTCTCTCACACTCTCTCGTCCAACGTCTCTATCATCTTGGTGTCGCCTCTCCTCTTGCCAATCATCATCATGCCCTGTATTCTTATCTCTAGCCTTATCTCTTTCATAAGAAGGTTCTCTATCATCTCTATGTCTTCTGTCTGAAGAACCAGACCAATCTCGTTCTGAGCCTCTATCTTTTTCTTTGTTACTAGGCCAAGCCCCTCTATCACGGTTTTCTTCTCCATACTGATGATCAGATAAAGCTTCTTCCCCATAACTCGACTCTCCCGCTCTGTAGCCATGCTCGTCTCCCGCCCATCCACCACCCATGTTAGGCTCAGACCACATACCCATGTTAGGCCCCTCCATACAAGCACGAGGCATCATTCCCATACCATTCATTGGCATTCCTCTGCCAAAGAATGCAGGATTTACATGAGGAGCTACACCAGGCAAACCAACACCTCCTCCAACTGGTGGAAATGATGGCAACATACCCGAAAATGGTGGATTTGGAGCACCAGGAAATCCTCCATAACCACCCATTCTCCCCATAGGCCCTCCAAAAGCAGGATCAAAACCTTGACCCATCATTGTTTGAGGATGCATCATTGGAGGTCCAGCACCCATACCTTGTCCAAATCCACTCCCACCATTTCCCATAAACCCCCTTCCAACAATGCCACCACCAGGCCTATTTCTCATAGGACCAACAGGACCCCTATTCCCCATTCCCTGCGGACC